GTCACCTTCAGTTGTTATTAAAATGCTGTTTTTATGTTTAAATAGAAAATAAACTTATCTTCTCATCACTTCCTTCTCTAAACGCCTTGAAATTGGCCTCTGTCTCTTTAAGAACCACCTTCGCTTCTGTCTCGTCCATTTCGGTGCAGGTGGGGGGGGAGGCTGCCATGATGCAGTTTACTTGGCATCTGCAAATACATTTCCTCAAAGGTATTTTTAATCTGAAAAGAGCTTCACTGAGTAAGCACTAATGCTGAGAGCTCAGCAGACAGTTAGGTTTCACTTTCACTTTCAACCGAGAGCCTGCAAGAGTCATGGGCGGGGTATGTGGGGAGGTGGGGGGTGCTCCGCCATGAGGAAGTTTGGCTTAAAGACACATCCCAGGGGCGTTTCTGGCCCCAAAAGGCGTTTCTGGCCCCCACCTGTCGTTTTGCTCCTCAGCATGGCTTCCTAAAAACGCTGCAGGATTTCTCAAACATGCATGAATGAGTCAAAGCAAGGCTTTGTTTTTTTTTTATGCGAGTATAACATTATAACTTGATAAAAAACTCAAAGTTGATTTTACATGATATTGTCCCTTTGAGAAAAAGTGGCTCAGGGGACACATGCAGATTAGACCCTTAAAACTTCTTGTAACGTTTAGATTTTAAATCTTGTCCTGAACAGATCAGCTAATCCAGGGTGGTCAACCCAAAATTTAGAAATGTAATCCAGAGATAATCTGTACTAATGATGCTCTGGAATAAAAAGGGCACTGGTGCAGCTCTCCACACATTCATCATTGCTGCTGCTCGCTCTTGGTGTCCAGAAGAACCTGAGTGTTGTGAGAGAAATACAATAAAGGGTTACAGTCAAGGGGGACATTAATGATTTAATTTTCAGAAATCTAGAACCGTCATTAAAACCCACAAACTGTTACTCCTCTTCAGCATTTTTTTTTACTGTGTCCAGTAAAGTTATGAGCATTTTGAATATTTTTCTTTGTGCAGCATGGAATAATGACAGCAGTTTTTGCAGTTACAGCTCATAAACACATCCTGCACTTCTTCTCTGAGGGAATGTTCCTCTAACAACAGGTGGTGTTATCAGAGTTATGTTGTTGTTGTCTAGAATGGGTGAGGTCCTGCTGCCGTGCAGCTCAAACAGCAGAAAGCCTCGCCGACCATGACGTAATGGTCGAAAACGTGCTGTCAGTTAGAAACGCGGCCAAAAACACGTGGAGTTGGCTCCTGCGTTCGCCCAGCCCCTCCGGGGCCCCTCGCTATTCTCCTCTCTCTCTCTCTCTTTCCCTCACCCCAGCCCATCCACCTCCCTTCTGCTCCACCGCACTCTGTTTATGAGTGCACAGATTGCTTTATTTCACAAGGCCCAGCCCCTCCACCAATCCCACCACTGCGTCAAGAATAGAGGTTCTCCCCTCCACGGGCTTTCATTTCCATGACAACTCACAATAAGAGGAGGAAATACCAGGGGCAGGRAAAAAAGATGAGAATGAGAGGATGGCAGTGCTATTCCCTGACCTCTGGTTGGATTGCTAAGAAGGGAAATCATCACAGCACGTCATTAAAGTTAACATGACAAATCTGACACGGATCCAAAATGTTTCGGGCGCATCTGTTAGCAAAACACCTCATGAACCACTTGATGGATTTTAATGAAACTCTCATAAAGTTGTCAGTGGATGCTCTACAACTGATCAGCTTTTGAAATCAACCCCACTCATGAAGGCTGCACAGGTTTTTTTTTACGTGCTAAATTTGGTGTGGTGGCAGCTGAGAGTCAAACTAACAGATCATCATAACTTCCTTGTCAAGGCTTGAGCAAAACAGCCACAACTCTGTTTCTTATCATAAAATGATCTCAGTTTAAAACTTTGATGTAAAAGGTGGCCAGGGATATGATTTTTTTTTCAAAAACACTAAGCTTTTTTATCAAAAATGTAACCTGATGGTGAAAGTTGAATGGTCAAAGGAACCTCAAAAGTGACTAAAAACACAAAAAACTGAATTGCAAAGATGTTTAAAGATTAAAGAAATTGCACATTTCTAGCTTTTCAAACCTCATGAACATGCTACACTAAAAAAAATTCTCTGCCATCAGGTCTAAAGGTCYGAATGAGCCACTAAAAATCATTGATCCGGTGTCACGTGAGTGCGTGGCTTTCAGTGTGAAACAAACACAACGCAGATTAATGACGGGTGAAAGGTCTCRGGGTCAAACCTAAGCAGAACTCTGCAACACACGCACGTTACATAGGATTAATTTCTAATTCAAGTGCATAGATTACAGCCAGGATTAATCCTACACTTTCTTTTCCAGCTGTAATAATCTCAGTGACAAAAAAGTAAACATCTGTTACTGTCTGTTCTTTGGTTTTGCTTAAAGAACGACAGTAACTTTACCCTTTCAGCGTGTTCTTTTGGATGCCAAGTAGAACCAGGTAAATAACATTATTGGCTTCCAGTTAATTGCTTGTAAACTGATATTTTACTCCTCCCAAGGGCAATAACAGTTCACATTATTGAAACACTCTGTAATAACTGAATGCCTCCAAATAAAATCTGAAAATGGCAGAAAACTGTTTATGGAGCTTCTGAAAAGACTTCACTTTGAACACTTTGTCACTCACAACTCAGGCATGTGACAGCAATCCGAAGAACGAGGTCCTAACCCATCATGTGACCCTATTGCTCATTTTTAATTCCACCGTAAAAAGAAAAACGGSTTTGCAAGAAAGACCTGATCTGGAAAAGCTCACAGCAGCTGGCGTGTTTGAGCCCTTCACACAGACCGATCGTATAACCCTGATATCAAAGGTGAAGTTGTAAAATGACTCAACAGTCTCGGTGTTACAGACAGAATTTACATTTGAAGTCAGCAGCGGGGCATTTGAAGCGTGTTGGAAGTTCGTGGATTTAAAAACGTAACGTTGCTGCAGATAAAAATCACAGCGGGGGTCACCCTGTTTAATAGTAAATAAAAAGCTTTCAAAAAAGAGAGGGTGTATTTAATCTCAGAACACCCCCGTTGTGCCCTCAATCCCCCCGACAGCAGCAGTGCTCATTACTCGCCTAACAGTGCTTTAAGTGCACCTTCAGACAGAGGAGAGATGGGAGGGGGATTAGGGACAGACAACAAGGAAGAGATCCACAAAAAAACCTTTAAAGTCTGATCCTAACAGGTTTTATCTACCAGTTAAATAATCTTAATGCTGCTGTGTTACAGAGCTTATTAGAATAAATCACTCAGGGACTCACGTTCTGTAGGACTACAACAGGAAATAAATTTAAAGTGACYTTTAATAATATTCTGCAGTCTACAGGATGTCTTTTCTTCTTTTTTTTTAGTGTTTTTTTTATACAAAAGCAGAACGTTACTCACACAAGTGGGCGTCCCTGTGACACAGAACCAAACCCAAACCGTCGATGAAGTCACCTCGCTGACAGACGAGAGCAGACACGCATATTTTTAACATCCTCCTATCAGACAGACGTCTCCGCACACAAGCAGCAATGACACATTAGACAAAAATGTCCTGTTGCACAAAACGCCAGCTTTTCATTCGATTTCTTWATGTTCCGATCCCGACTGCATTTCACTCTGAATTACTGAAAAGATCGAGTCTGAAGCTAAACGACGGGACTTACTCAAATGTTGAAAAACTGATTATTAAAATAATAATAATAATTTAAAAAACTACCTTAAAATCAAACTGCAGACCTTCTGTATATGAACACACATTCACCAACAGAGTTCATGGCCCTGTTTC